CATCCACTGAGAACCCTGTGGGCACAGTTCTCCTCTGACACACACGGGGGAACAATGAGTTGGAATCAACTCAGTGGCAAAGGTTTGTTAGTTTGCTTTTAATATACAAGAGGACTTCTAAATGTTTCTGAAACAAATTTCATTATGTTTCGGTTTTATTTTTTCAAGACTTTTTTGAAGCTTTCTCCCGTAGTCTACATACAGTAAGTGGAATCAATTTGGTGACAAAGGGTTTGGTTCGTGGTTTTGTTTGGTTCGTGGTTTTGTTTGGTTCGTGCTTTTGTTTGGTTCGTGCTTTTGTTTGGTTTTTATAGTCTGCCCAGGAGGGGTTCCCGGGATGACATCATTACAGAAGCAGACTGCTACGTCTTTTTCCTGTGAAGTAACTGTGGGTTCCCTCCCCTACCCTTTTTGGTTAGCAGCTGAATGCCTAACTCCGTACAACATGAGGAGCTTTTCCAGGAGGGAAGACTCAAATGGTTGAGTGCCTGCTCTGGGTGAAAAAGTGGGCTAAGGTGTGGAGGTTTGTATCAGAATGGAGACACTGTCTTTGCCCGTGGGAGCTTACAGTCTATGAGAAGATGCAGCTATATGGAAAAATGAGTTTACTACTAGACAAGGCTTGGCACAACCTGGGTGAGAAGGCTCTGTCAAGATCTACTCCAGAAAAGAGTTTTGGGAAAAGCTTTGTGGACGAGGTCACATCTTTGAAGGATGTGTTGGGTTCCAACAGCTACCTGTGGGAATTGGAATGGAAACACGCGTCTTAGGAGGAGGATATGGGGTCAGCGATGGCGTGCAGGACAATGCAGGCTGTTGAGACAAGGTGCATCTTCTCGTAGGGGTGAAGCGTTCATTGTGTTGTGGGCTAAAAGGAAGGCTTGGGAGGTGGGGATTGAACTGTTGTTTCTATGGAATTCGTGAAAGCTCTTTGACAGCCATGAGAGTCCTCAAAGCTTTGAGAGTGATGAGTAGGAATCGGGATAAAGTAGAGTAGGCAGATCACAAGCCCACTTGAGCTGCTAATTTAGCAATAGAAGTCATGAGTTTGAATCCTGCCCACCATAGCAGGATGACAACGAAACAAGCCTGGGACCTTTGAGACAGAACTTTAGATAAAAGACTCTCTGGCAGCTATTGGGTAGACAAGTTACTATCTCTATCTGGCAAAAGTGGCGACAAAACCCATCCTCTGTATGGATGCTGTGGGGGCTGGATAACATATAAAGCACTGTCTCTGGCTCCGTTACTCTCACCCCATCAGTCTTTTTAAGGACTAATCTCCATGTAGTTGAGCTAGTAAATTTTCATACAAGAAAAGGATGTTGTTGTTCCAACTCATAGCAACTCTATGCACAACAGAACGAAACACTGCCCGTCCTGTGCCCCCTTCAGAATTGTTGTTACATTTGAGCCCACTACTGCTGCCACTGTTAATAGACCTTGTCGGGGGTCTTCCTCGTTTTCACTGACTCTCCGCTTCACCCAGCATGGTGTCCTTCTCCAGGGACTGGTTCCTCCTGATAGCATGGCCGAAGTATGTAGAGAATGCCTTGCCACCCTCAATTCTAAGGAGTACTCTGGCTGTACTTCCTCCAACACAGATTTATTCATTCTTCTGGCAGTCCATGGATGGTACTTTGAATACTCTTTACACCATAACTCAAATACGTTAATTCCTCTATGGTCTTCTTTATTCATTATCCAACTTTTACATGCATATGAGGCTATGGAAAATACCATGCCTTGGGTCAGCCACATCTTAGTCCTCAAAGTGACATCTTGTTCTTGAACACGTTAAGGAGGTCTTGTGCAACAGATTTTCCTAATGCAAGACGTTGTTTGATTTCTTGATGGCTGCCTCTATGAGTGTTGATTGTGGATCCAAGCAAAATGAAGTCTCTGTCAACTTCAATCTTTCCTCCATTTATCATGATGTTATTTATTGGTCTACTGGTGAGGATATTTGTTTTCTTTACTTGGTCTTCATCAGTAAGTACTTCAAGTCCTCCTCACTTTCAGCAAGAGAGGTTGTATATCATCTGCCTATCGCAGGTTGTTAACGAGTCTTCCTCCAATCCTGATGCCACGTTCTTCTTCATATATGACTGCAGGCTTCTCGACTTACTTGCTCAGCATACAGAATGAATAAGTATGGTGCTAGAACACAGAGAAGTAGTAAGAGGAGAAAGAAGTATAGTTAGGTGCTGTTGAGTCAGTGTCCACTCCGAGTGACCCTGTATGTACAACAAACAGAACAAAGCACTACCTGGTCCTGTGCCCATCTCACAACTGGTGCCAGATTTGATCCCACTTTTGGGGGGTTATTTTGCAGCCATTGTACCAGTCCATCTCATTGGGGGTCTTCCTCTTTTTCACTGACCCTCCACTATACCAAGCATGATGTCCTTCTCCAGGGCTTGGTCCCTCCTGACAATATGTCCAAAGTAAATGAGGTGAAGTCCCACCATCCTGGCTTCTAAGGAACATTCTGGCTGGATTTCTTCCAAGAAATTCATGGTGTGTTTAATATTCTTCACCAACATCATAATTCAAATTTATCAGTTCTTCCTCAGTCTTCTTTATTTGAGTGGAAATTTAAAATTAGAACCTCATTTCAAGAATGAGGTGGAAATGGATGCTACATGGAGGGGATTATAATCACTGTAATGAAACCAGGTGCATGATTTGTTGAATGTAAAGCTGATGATCAGCCCCGTAAACTTTCACTCAATCCACAATAAATACCTTAAAAAAAAGAGAAAAGAATGAGGTGGGAAACAAGCCATTGAGACTGCAAGTTGCTGAACTAAGTTGGCCTTTTGACTGATTGTCAGCTCACTTGAGATTCGGTGCCCTCTTATTGGGGGGCTGATGTGCTGGCACAGTGGGTTAAGTGTTGGGCTACTAACCATAAGGGCAGTCGTTTGGATTCACCAGAGTGCGCTCCAGCAGTTTGCATCTGGAAAGACTTACAGCCTTGCAAACGCCATGTGGGTGGGAGGTCAGGTAAGCAATCTCCGCCTAGCATGTATCCCAATTCTGGACTATGGATTCTTTTGACTTTGCTATTTTCCGTTCTAGCGTCATGTACCTAAGAAAAGAGAAACTGATAGTACTCTCTGTCTTGTTGCAGTGATAGAAAAAGGATGTCTGTAATTGTCCGAACGCCTACAGGACAGCTCCGGCTCTACTGCAAAGGGGCTGTAAGTATCGGGTGTCTGTCCTGACAACTCTGCCTGCTTGTGCCAGCAACGTGGGGGAAGCCTTTTGTGGTTCACAGTGTTAAAAACATTTTTTTTTTTCTTATTTCTTAAAGCTTTTTATTGTGAATTCAGTAAAGGTTTACAGACAAGATCATCAGTTTTACAGTCAACAAATCAGACACTTTGTTTCATCTCAATGATGGCAGTCTTCTGCATGCGACAATAATTATACTGTGGTTGTTGTTGTTAAGTGCCGTCGAGTCAGTTCTGACTCATAGTGACCCTATATAGGGTTTCCAAGGAGCAGCTGGTGAGTTTGAACCGCTGATCTTGTGGTTCCAGCCGACCTTGAGGTCCACGGCCTTATCCCACAGCGCCAGACCAGGACTCCTTCTTGGGTGCTAGATTCTTTTAAAAAGATGCTATCTTTAGATACTTGTAGATTTACATGCAGTTGTAAGAAGTAATGCAGAAAGATCCCTTCTATTTGTCACCCAGTGTTTTCTGATGGGAACATCTTGCAAAACTGCAGTATAATTTCACAGCCAGGAAAGTGACATCGATGCACGCTGGTCTTACTCAGATGTCACCAGTTTTGCGTTTACTCATTTGTGTGTGTTTGTGTGTTAGTCATTTTCTATGCAGTTTTCTTATGTGTGTAGATTTATATCCCCATGACCCCATTTGGATGTTGGAGATTTCCATATTCCTAAAAACTGTCTTTAACTTTGAGGATACATTTAACTAAGTGAGAGATGGAACCATTCTGAATTTGCTTTTAAGACTCGTTAGGCAGGTTCAGAGCAGTGTTTCTTGAGGGTTAATGCTTCCCTTCTCCTGAAGCAAGACCACTGTCTCCCCAGTGGCCCAAAACCACAGAGGGCTTCGTTCCCAGCCCTGGGCAGCATGGCCTCTAATTCTCAGGATTCTAGGCCTTTATAACGAGTGCTTAGCTGAACACAGGGGATCCTCTGTATATCCTTGGGGTTCACTCTCTGAGTTTCTTCTCTGAAACACTCTATCCTGTAAACGCTGATTTCCTGGCCAGTTTCCCAGGATCTCAGTTCCATCAACTTCACTCAGAAAGGCCACTGATGTCCACCTGAATTTCCTCTCCCTGAGCCCTGGTGGCCCTGTGGAATAAGCACTGGACTGCTAACCACAAAGTTAGAGGCTCAAACCCACCCACTTCTCCGAGGGAGAAAGATGACATACAGTCTCAGAAGCCCTATGCAGGTGTGGCTGTGAACCAGAGTCCACTCGACACCAGTGGATTTGGGGCCCTGGTCCTGGAAATGCTCTCAAGACAGAAACCCAGGCAGCTGTTGGGTTCACTCCATTTCTTTTCCATCTCTCAGGGAACAGACATGTGTGGTCTAATGCTCAGCATCTTGAACACGAGTGTTTCACATATTTTGCATCAAAATACAGATCCAGTCTCTTTACCATCTACTTCTGCATTCAAGTTTGTGATTTTTCTTTGCTCCATGTCAATTTGATTGGGTTCACCCAAAGAATCCATTGATATAGAAGCCTTGTTAAAATTGCCCATGATTATTGTAGATTCGTGTCTTTCTTTCTTCAAATCTACTAGCATTTGCTTTATATATTTTGGAGCTCTTTCATTGGGATCATAGATATTTATTATGGTTATGTCATCTTGTTCAATTGTCCCTTTAATCATGA